AAGAACAATGGAAGGAACCAGTGTCCTTGTAAAATAAACGTTAAGAACAATGGAAGGAACTAGTGTCCTTGAAAATAAACGTTAAGGACAGTAAAAGAAATTAGTGTCCTTGTAAAATAAACGTTAAGAACAGTGTCCTTGTAAAATAAACGTTAAGAACAGTGGAAGGAACTAGTGTCCTCGTAAAATAAACGTTAAAAACAATGGAAGGAACTAGTGTCCTTGTAAAATAAACGTTAAGGACAGTAAAAGAAACAGTGTCCTTGTAAAATAAACGTTAAGAACAGTGGAAGAAACTAGTGTCCTTGTAAAATAAGCGTTAAGAACAGTGGAAGGAACTGGTGTCCTTGTAAAATAAACGTTAAGGACAGTAAAAGAAACTAGTGTCGTTGTAAAATAAACGTTAAGAACAGTGGAAGAAACTAGTGTCCTTGTAAAATAAGCGTTAAGAACAGTGAAAGAAACCAGTGTCCTTGTAAAATAAACGTTAAGAACAGTGGAAGGAACTAGTGTCCTTGTAAAATAAGCGTTAAGAACAGTGAAGGGAAACAGTGTCCTTGTAAAATAAACGTTAAGAACAGTGGAAGGAACCAGTGCCCTTGTAAAATAAACGTTAAGAACAGTGAAAGAAACCAGTGTCCTTGTAAAATAAACGTTAAGAACAGTGAAGGGAACTAGTGTCCTTGTAAAATAAGCGTTAAAAACAGTGGAAGGAACTAGTGTCCTTGTAAAATAAGCATTAAAAACAGTAGGAAGGAACCAGTGCCCTTGTAAAATAAACGTTAAGAACAGTGGAAGGAACCAGTGCCCTTGTAAAATAAACGTTAAGAACAGTGGAAGGAACTAGTGTCCTTGTAAAATAAACGTTAAGGACAGTGGAAGAAACTGGTGTCCTTGTAAAATAACGTCTTCATTAAGTATAACAAATAGAACGTTTTTGAAAACTGATCCAGAACAATTCATAAAGTTTGTGAAGCATATCTGTGTTTCATAGTTGGAAGCGTCACAATTCACTAGAGGTTTTAATTTTTCCTTTTCATCAGTTAGTTCTTTCTCATATTCAGGGTCGAAAAACAAACAGATATAAGGCTCTGTGCTGGTTTTATTGATACAAATATTTCCGTGGAATATTTCTACAAAAATAAATCAGATTACAGAAACAGTACGTAAAGAATTGTTTTTAGAGTTTCCAGATTGTACTACATGAGTATTTTCAGAAAAAAAACTTCTTAAAGAAATAAATCCGAACACGTTAAGTTTGACTAGTATTTTGTTCTTTTAAGTTTAAACATTTTTCATTGGAGCATTGTGTTTGCAAATTAACATGTCTTTGGCTTTCTATATTTATAGTTTTGGGATTTATTTATGTATCTTTCTTATTCCAGACGTGATTGCTACATAAAACATAAAAGAAGGAAAAACATTTAAAACATTTTTGTTTCGTATTTAATGAATAAAAATATGTAATTGACACAACTGACTTGACCTTGTTTACTGTGTGTCATCGGTTGTTTTTTATAGAATTCAGTTAACAATCTTCATTTAATGATTATTCACACTTTCTGCCAATATACGTTTCATAGGGGTATACTCTTTTTGGCGAAAACTACAAATCACGTTTTGATACGCGACTGTGGACTTATGTTTTCACGGTAATTTGTCCCCCAGTAGGACAGCATTAAGTCTACAAACTTACAATGCTGATTGATATCTGTGGTTCGATTTCCCATGGTGGACACAGTAGATAGTCTAATGTGGCTTTATTCTACAAAATATATAAACAAGTTCATCCTTTTTCCTATTTAGAAGATATTTCTAAGCAGCACACATTTTACCACTTCAAAAATTGCAAACTTTCACGTTCCTAATCGATTTTGTCAACTATGAACTACGCCTGACGGGTCTTAAGATCTAAGCAAGAAAATTACTTATACAGTTGGTATTTTCAATTTGAATGGCAACTTAATGGACATATGGACTTAAAGGTCATGACAGAGACTCCAAGGCTCAATCAAATCCATCCCTAAATTAAAATTGACCAAGATGAGGGCAACAAATTAACAGCTCCTGCCTCTTAGATGGTTAATTTCAACTGAACAGTTACAACAGTTGAGAATGTGGAGCATACTTAATGGCACATCTAGGCTCGAACCTTAGACACATCAATTCGTAACCTGGCAACCACGCCGCTAAGCCATGCCAACCCCAGCAGAGTAGTAAGGTCATCAGTGCTAAAGGTTTAAACGTTATCTTTTGTAATTTCTCTTTCGATCGAGATTGACACATTTTTCATGGTCACTTCCTCTCCTTTTATGACCTTAATCCCATTCTGATAGGAAGTTAGCTGCTAGGATATATAGGAGGTCAGCTGCTAGATATATAGGAGGTCAGCTGCTAGGATATATAGGAGGTCAGCTGCTAGGATATACAGGAGGTCAGCTGAAGATATATAGGAGGTTAGCTGCTAGGATATATAGGAGGTCAGCTGCTAGGATATATAGGAGGTCAGCTGCTAGGATATATAGGAGGTCAGCTGCTAGGATATATAGGAGGTTAGCTGCTAGGATATATAGGAGGTCAGCTGCTAGGATATATAGGAGGTTAGCTGCTAGGATATATAGGAGG